GATTTTGAAATCACGCGTATGATTTCAGACCAAATTGCACTCCACTCAGTTCAATTACCATTATAAATTAGCGTATACATACAACAATGACTTGCAATCAATTCAAGTATAGCCTCTACTGAAACATGACTATTTAGAAAAAATCCTTCCTTTCAATAACGCTGCATTTTACCGCCCTTCTGAGGATCTAAAGTTACCCGATTGTTGCTCGAGTCTTACAATGCAACTGAAATAGCTTTGATTTTGTTTACGTAAGCGAGGAAAAACCAAGTTAGTTCATAGTTTGAACAACTGCAATCATCGTTAAATGTTAATGATGAAATTGACGACGATAATTAAAGCCCTCCTTTAACAAATTACTTCCAAAATAGTAATAACTATACTGGGAAGACTTAGAGTTAAAATAAATCTAGATTTACTGTTTCATCTAATTTATAAATTTATGAGCTGTTGTTCGTAAATTGGTGGCGATTAAAAAGGCCAGATAATAAAAAAATTATTGGATAAGGTTTATGTGATATCCAGAATAATCAAGGTCGAGGAAGGTGTCATCTGCCGAAGCCCAATCTCAAGTTACCTAGACGCCGGCAAAAATATTATAAGCTTAGCTTTAAAAGAGCGGAAAAAAATCTTTTTTGATTCTCGTTAGATCTACTGACCAAGTAATTTCCCTGAGAAGATCACCGCTATTGTATCTTGCACAGCGAAAACTCGGTACAAAGCTATTCGAGAGTTTACCGACGCCTACATGTTTGGCTTGATGTTTGACTACATATCATCCTCGCCGTGGGAACTTTCACTGGACCTCTCCGCCCTCATAAATTCACATTCCTGTACTAGAACTAGTCCGGAAGGACACTTCTCTTTCTTTGAATGGCAGGTAAAACACTGGAATTTAGTGATCATCCTCACATGTAGATTAATGCAAACTAAATTGCTGTGGTTAACTTTTAACACCTAATTGGTACAATCATAGTTGGTACAGGTGCAATTTGGTATTTTCCTTTGTTCCGGTGTATCAGGGAATGTAATAACACCGAAACTGATCTGAGGGGTATACCAAATTGTACCAAGTTTAATATTGAACTATAATGCAACCCCGAACCTTTACCTTTTCAGATGACTTCGGGGATATCTTATTTAATCCCTGCACTTTGAAATTCACAAAAGTAGGTTTTTTTACACATGAAAGTAGGTAACTGCTCAACAGATATTTACAAGTGTGAAACAATGTTTCACAAGGAAAAGATTTACAGTAAATGTGTTATAGTTTACAAAATAGGGATAATTCAATAAAAAACAGACTTTATATACAGCTGTTATTAGAAGAAACGAAGATATTTCAGTACAACAGTGTTAATAATTTATAGAAATGGCAAGTAAATAGCTGCATCCAGTTTAGTGCCCCTCATCAAATTTAAGTTTTCTGAATATGTGTAAAATCCTGTGTTGCTTTGATTTCCTAAAATCATAACTCAGGCATGATCAGTTGGAAAAACGTCCTGTCTGCAAGATGTCATAAAATGTTGCGTAGTTTATTATAAGATTTATGAAAGATCTGCTCTAGTGGGAAAATAAATTAACAATCACCAGGAGTCCTGTAAGAACAGTCATTGCATAATTATGTGAATATTCCAAGCAGGACCTGAAGCCACTAATTTTAATACCTAATAGAATGTTAAAACCTTAGCAGGTTTGGTGGTGATACCAACAGCAGTAAAGGCAGATTTAAACAGTGAGAAAATATCACTGTTCCCATTCACACTAGTGTGTAGACAATACATGCCTGGTTACATGACCCCATAATTGTGACGCCTGGGATGTTTGGAGCTGTAGGCATGCCATGAACTGTGATATATCTGCTAAAGCAACGATTATTTCTTATCGTATGCAACATGTTTTGACTGTATTTCCAAAACAGCCTCTTTGTTTACTCTAGATGTCATTGCCATGCCGGAACGGATGCTTGCCAATATCTGATCTTACGCACGCAATTTATGAACCATCACGTTCACAAAATAGCTCTTGTCCACGTGGTTATTTTCAATGGGTTTTGTATGACCACTAGAACAATGCTTTATCTGAGCAGTTTACCATGACACGACTTCATTTTCCAACCTTTTATTGCCAGTGGTAATCGCTGCAGTGCGTTTTACAACATTTGCTTGTTACACGTACATTAGGGTATCAGTAAGGTACTAAGTAGATAAAATGCGTCTGAGAATAAACCATCTTTACAATTTCAGTTCGCTGCGTGCTGATCACTAGTTTAGGTTTAAAAAATAAATAAAAAATAGATGCATAAATAAATGATGGTATTTTTGTATCTCGATATTTACGCCGTGTGTCGATGTTGGACATAGTAGAAGAACAGTTTTAGAATAAACTCCCTGTGAAAATAACATCAAAATCGAACCCTCTCAGTATATTTGCAATCACTAGTAATGAAATGAAGGATCACTCTTTACTTTATAAGTTATTAATTCTGATCCTGAGGAAAAAGCTTGAGTACCAAAAAAAAATCCATTATTTCATTGAGTACCTCCATCTTCTTGCCCCCAGACAAATTTTAATCTGCTGATATCAATGTTCACTGAAACAGCATGTTGGCCGTGCTTTACTCCAAATGTCCTCTCTACGACCCATTTGGCAATCGTTATGAAGACTAAATGTGTGACTCTAAACTATTGAGAATTCAGCGTTGGTATATAGAACGCAAGATTGAAACCAACTTATTAGATTTGCATAGTTAGTAAAGCTGTTTATAATGCTACGGTACCCTATCGTTTATCAATCAAAAATTTTTATACTACCGAAGTGTGTATCTAAGTGTAACGGGATATATATAAAGTATAAATTATAATGCAAACACATGTGTTGACTCCACTGACTTGGCTGCGTCCCTTTAGAACTAAACGTTGTGGTCTAGTAAAAGGAAAATCCACAGACCAGCAACCTATACTGAAGGACCGTCAGTTACGACCGAGTTCTGGGTTTCTGACTGTGTTTCTTTAAATGCTACTTTTCGCATAGAAGAATGGAATCGAATGGAAAGTCATTAGCTTATAATCTTTGAATAATCTATCTACAAAATGGATACATGTATTAGGCGTTATGTAGTTTTCGTTATTCATTTACCACTGAGTCAACTTTCAGTTTTGGGAACAGCAAAATACGATAGCAAATATATCAAAAGATATGTTTACTCCGTACCAGACGACAGTAGACCTTTTCACGATTAATTGACCTCGTTTTCATTACAATGTAATTTAGCGTGGTATGAGACGTGAAAATTGGACCTTGAAAATTGCCCTAACTGCTCCATACACGCCGTATTATATTGTAACTGGCAAATTAGAAAAGTTAACAGTGAAAAGGGGTATTTATGTTTCGAACCTTGTGTATTGCAGATTACTTATACACAATTGTTTTCAATTCAGCAGTACTTCGCTAATTCCCAAAAATGTCTAAAGTAAGGCTTTTAATTAGCAACGGGAAGCGATCGATAACGAGAAAGACTTTCGGGATGCCACTTATGGTTATATAAGTCGTCTTTCGAAATCAGGATCTCTTTACGACTAAACTAACATTGATTTTTCGCGCTTTCTAAATGTTTCATTCCATCTTTAGCGGATGATAGCACTCACCTGGAAACGCTGTCCTTCAAGCAAACGTTCGGTTCTCTTCTGCTTCTTTTCACAGCCAATAATGGTAATAACTCCCTCATTTATGAGTCAGGGCTAAAATAAAGTCGATAGTTATTGAACAACGCAATTCGAATATTTTAGACTCTCAGTTAGTGACAGATCTGATAATATAAGCATAAATTATCGAATATAACAATAAAAACGCCAATGTCTGTGGTCTCTTGGGAAACAACAGCCTTTTTCTAAATCCTTCCTTTCAAGGGTACGGCATTTTATAGCCCACTAATGGTCGCTAACAAAGAGTCGGTGGCAAATATTTATCTGAGGTTGAAAACGTATGCGTAGATAAACAAAAATGTAACGTCCTATATTAAACAAGTGCAAGTGTCTTGATAAGTCAAATATCAAAGTGAAAGATCTTAAATGAATATTACTTTTTCATTGAGTACATCAGAGAACATGACCAAAGCGTACAATCATACAATGATAGACTAAGGCGGCTTATATTAAGGAATCTTGTATTCTGTTTTAAGCTGTCCTCAAATTCATTGGATTGACTTGTTCAATGTAATGTAATTTAGAATTTTCATTAAAGATTAAAGATTAAATGTATATTTTCTAAAATCAGAGTTTTCTCTCTCGTGGCTTAACGTTATTTTGTAATCAGAAACAGAAAACATAACACATCTGCAACCATTAACATTTTGACTCAAGAACAAGTTTTAAAGAAATTAAATTTTGAAAAATATGGCGGATTGAAAAATCGACGATGGATGGATGTCGATTAACACGACAATGCAGATATCACCCTGTGGGAAATCGTGCAGCATGACTGAATATTTAAATTGATTCAAGAATCCTAATTCCTCTCCACAGAGAGATAAACATCACTTTTGTTGTTCCAACTAGCTTGTAAAATCAACGCACTTTTGTCTTCTGCCTTTTGTCATTTATCCTTAAACGTGATTAGATCTGTGTTTACGGTGAATGAGCGGATTTAGGGCGAGAGGCGTTGGGGCACCCAGCCCCAGCGCGGGGGGTGGGGGGGGGGG